TGTTGGTTTTACAAGTTCCCCTTTTACATGAACAAACCAATGAAACGAGCCGGATCAGGTCGAAGAACGCCTAGATAAAGCTCTAGTGTCTCGAGAATGGATGAGCAGATTCTCAGAATCGAATATGAAGCATCTGAGTTATGAAGGATCTTATCACAGGGCACTCCTATTTTCAACAGATAAAATTCAGTCTAGAACTCATCCTTTATTCTGCTTCGATGCCCGATGGGTGAAGCATTAGGAAGTTGAGGATATTGTAAAGGAGGTTTGGGAGGAAAACATTGTTGGTGGGGGTCAAAAGGTGGGGAACGCAGAATCCATTGGGTGGCTTGGAGATTTCTTTGCCGGAGTAAAGCTGATGGAGGCTTAGAATTCCGCAATTTTGAATCGTTCAATCAAGCCCTCTTGCAAAAATTGGCTAGAAGCTAATTAACAAACCAGACAGTCTCCTTTCCAAAATATATAAGGGCAAGTATTAGCACCGGGATCAATTTATGAATGCAAAGATGGGGGTGGAGAGGGATTATGTATGGGAATGGGAGGGAGTTGTTGGAAAAAGGAGTCAAGTGGCAAATACGATCGGGGGAACAAATATGGGTGTGTGTCTGGGCGGCTTGGAGGAGATTGAGAGTTTGTCCCACTTGTTCCTTCAATGTCCTGTTGCTCTCCGATTTTGGGCTGAGATTGGTCTTCTGCGTGTGGTAAGAAACATGGAGGCCAATAATGTTGTTTTTTTGTGGGTTAGGCTGTTCGAAGACAAACATTTGGACCATGAGGTGCAGTTTAAGATGTTGTGTGGTTTCTGGAGATTGTGGAAGTCCAGGAAAGGAATGACGTGGTATTTGAAGGGGTTCAGACGTCCATCCCGGTGTTGGGGTGTCAGAGGTGAGTGTTCTTGAGGGTGGGGGTGCCAGCAAAGTGCGAATGAGTACCATACCCAAGGCATTTTTTGATGGTGCTACAAAGCAGCAATTACATGGGATGGTAAGCTATGTCTTGTGTGATGTGTCGGGTTCGGTCGTTGCTGCGGGAGGTTGTTCCATTCCTGGTGTGTTTGATCCATACCTGATGGAATTGATTGCTATTAGGGACACGTTGATTTGGTGTCGTGGCATGGAGATGTAAGATTTTGATGGGGACGGGATACGGTGACAACTTCTAAGGGGGTTGTCAGATTCATAACCAATGGTATTTTGGGTATGAGAAAAAGGAATATATTAATTACCTTTTTTGTATTAATTATATTGAGAATTAAAAATCCATATTAAATACAATTTTTTCTGAAATTTAAATCCTATACATTAATATCTCTATCTCTCTCTCTCTTCCTTTCTCCAGCAGCCACTCCGCATCGACCGACAAACTTTTTCTTCGGCGAATTCTCTTCGGCAGACTCCCTCCGACAACCTGAAAAAATGTACTAATGCGTTAAAAAGTGTAACAATCTATTAGTCTACTGGTAATTAATATACCAGTGCTAGTGGTACGCTACCAGTACATTAAAAAATGTACCAGTACTAGCGATACCAGTAAAAAATGTACCAGTACTAGTGATACGCTACCAGTACAACGCTACCAGTAGAGAATAACACAACGCTACTAGCACTAGTAGCGATACAACTAGCATTGGCAGCGGTACCAGTAGAGAATAACCCAAAAAAAAAAGAAAATAGTGGTACCAGATGATAGGGGAGCCACTAGTATTGGTACTAGTGAGTAGTGGTAGCGTACCAATAGCGCTACCAGTAGTATTGGTACCAATAGTGCTACCAGTGGTATTGGTACCAGTAGAAACTATCAGATCTGGAAAAAAATAGGGATGAGGAAAGAGGGAGGCAGGGAAGAGTCTTGACCTGCGGCGGAGGCGGCATAAAAATGGTGGCGGGTCAGCGTGGCAGGGCGGAGGGCAGCAGCGGGGGACAGCGGCGCGGCAGGGCGGCGGGGACAGCGGCGCGGCAGGGCGGCGGGGACAGCAGGCGCGGTGGTGGGAGGGCTGTGGCGGCGGAGAGAGGGGGAGGAGAGACGGTGATGGAGGGAGGAGAGAGAGAGGGAGGATGGAGGAGTTAGGGTTTTTGTTCTTTTTATATGGTAGGGTGAATGATTGGGTGTGGTAATTTTTTACCCTTCCAAAAATATCCTTCTTTTAATCTTAAACGTTAATTTAAAAAAAAGAAGAAAGAGACAGGAGAGAGAGCGTATCCAATGGCTATGAAGTGGGTTGTGAATCTGACAACCCCCTTAGGGGTTGTCACCTTATCTCGTCCCATGACAATAGTTTACCTAACACATGTCAATTAACATATTCTCAAATCCTCCCACGCGAATCAAATGAAATATAAATTGCGCAAGTCGTCAAGAAACAATCACAAGAGTAATACTACTACAAGAAATACATGATATTTGATTATCCTTAAACTCCAAACATGTCATTCAAACCCTTGTGAGTTTTTTTAAACATCTCACCAATTTATGAGTGATTTTATCATATTTTAGGAATAATATATTAAATAAAAGGGTCTAACGGGTCGACATGCTAACCCACCCAACCCGAACCAAAAAATCACGGGTTATCAGGTTCGGGTCATTCGGATTTCGGGTTACAAAAATTTCTAGTTTTTGGGCGGTTTCGGCTCGGGTCAACGGGTCGGGTTGTAATTTTCCAGGTCTACATAAAACTATTCATCTTAACTTATTTCAATTACCAATAGTGTATCAAGCAAAGTACATCCATAGCAAGTCATTTAAGAAAATCTTGAAATCAAACTACAATCAAAATATCGATTTAGTCTAACTCAATCAAATGCAACTCATTAGATAAACATCCAACACCAACTCATTTTAAACGGGTACACAATCCCATTTAGAGAGCAATCTCCATCCCATGTCCCAAACCCGTACGGATTAACGGATACCCATTACTCGTACGTGATAGATGACGAGTACCCGAACTACCCGTAAAACCCCGTCCAATTGGGAGTAGCAACGTTGACTATGGGGAATGAGATCGCCGTGTCGGAAGGGAAATTGTCTCGCCGCAAAACCAATGAGCCTAGGGAGATTGTCGCATCGGAGGGGAAATAAGGGCCATGATCAGGTGACTAGGGGGGTTCCCTTAGTCATGTGACTAAGTGCATCTCAGCCATCTAACCTCATTTAAATCCAAAGGCTCAGATTAATCCAATTTAATGAAGTACAATATAATAATTGCATTACTTTATTATTTTCAATTATTAATTAATTAAAAAATAGTGTGCCCAGCTCGTGTTCCCTCCCACCGGGCTTACCTATGCTCTCGCCCAGACGGCCACTTTGACTCAGCCGACAACTTTTACTCTCAGCGCCGCCGGATTCCTTTGCTGCCACCGGGAATGTTTGTAATGTTTGTCGGATTTTTTTGTAATGTTTGTAAACTTTATTATTTTTGTGCACCATGTTTATATTTTTGTCAACCATGTTTGTAATGTTTTTTATGTCTAAAAAACAACCTGGTTGACTTTTGGATGGAACTCCTCTATATAGGGATGGAGCCTCCAAAGTCAACCCGGGTGTTTTTTCCAGTTCGTATGGATTGTCGGTCTAGTTTGTCATTTTTGTCCACCATGTTCGTAATGTTTGTATGTCTAAAAAACAACCGGGTTGACTTTGAGACAGAGCCCTCTATATAAGGATGAAGCTTCCAAAGTCAACACCCGTGTTTTTCCAGTTTGTATGAATTTTTGGTCTAGTTTGTCATTTTTGTCCACCATGTTTGTATGTCTAAAAAACACCCGGGTTGACTTTGGGAAGGAGCTCCTCTATATAGGGATGGAGCCTCCAAAGTCAACTTGGTTGTTTTTTTATTTTTGTATGGTTTGTATTCTTTGTCGGTCTAGTTTGTATTTTTTGTACAGTTCATATGTTTGTAATGTTTGCAAATCTGTTTGTATGTTTTATCGCTCTAGTTTGTACTGTTCGTATGTCTGTATGGTTTGTACTGATTGTAAGTTCGGTTTGTATACTTCCTAATTTTCCATAATACCCAAACTACCCCTGTCATTAATTAAATAGCCCTTCTCACTTTTTAACCATCAGACTGTTATATCCCGATCTAAGGGTTGAGATGGGCTTAGTCAAGTGACTAAGCACCCCCATAGTCACTGGATCCTCTCTCGGGGAAATAAGTATTACCTAGTGGGAGGCCAAACTCTGATTAATTGAGTGTACACAGTTATATTCCGTGTATGAATGAATACTAGTTACTAGTTTTCTCCACATTTATCTTGTTTCTCGCAGTTATATTCCTTTATAATTTAATTGCAGTGGCTAACAGTGGGAGGTCATACCTGTTATATTTCTTATACATATATCTTGTAATTTAATTTATTTTAACTACTAACTTGGTTGGATTTGGTCCAAATTCAATTAATTCAATATATACCTTAAAATTGTTAAATCGAATGAAATTTGTAAGATTTTATGGATCTGAATCGCGAATAGTGTAAGATTTTAAGATTCATAGATTCTATAGTGAAATCAGAATGAGAAATAATAAGAAATATCATAAAGTCGTAGATTTTTGGATTTAAAACGAGATTTTGACTACCTTACCCATAGCTTTCAGAAGTGTAAGAGCGTGATTACGGATGGACAAAGAAACAAGTTCATGTATAAGAATGCAAAGGATAAACCACGCACAAACGGTGGACAAGAATCATGTCACCAACCACAAATAACAAACTAGTTTGCTTGTCTAAGATAACATGACAGAATGAGAATGAAGTCACCACATACACTCTCTAACGCAATGAGAATGGCCAATGAAGCGACACTGGAAGGTAAGAGATGTTGGCAACTTGCTTGTTTCCGATGATTTGGTTGTTTTTTCAAATTTGGATATGAGTTTGATCTTAATCGGTGAAAGAAAGTAAATACATTTTTATTTTTCTTATAATTAATGATGAAGAATTAGAATAAAAAGTTAGCATAAATGATCGTGAAAAGGATTCAAATTGCACGTGAATATCGATAGCTAAACTTAATTAGATAAGACAAGTACCAAATGTGTAATTCAAATGAGATAACAATCCAAGTATAGCTCAACACCAATTTTTCCCTAAATGAAGGATATATCTATACATGAGAAATCATATCGAAGTAGAATCCGTTAATACATCAAATCCCCATTGAACTTCTTTTCCCCCCTCAGCCTTCTCAGAAGGTATCAGGAGAAGGAGCAAATGCAGTAGCAGTACCATCATCCGCAAATGTAAAAGCAGGGGAAGACAGAGGAGAACCGATTGGGGCTCCAATAGCTCCATCTTCTTCCCCAGCAATTCCCATAGCACCACCGTCGAAAGCAGTACCTGAACTCCTGGGCTGATTGTACAATGCGCGACGAGGAGCACCATCTTTCCTGCTGCAGATATCATGCAAGTTCATTCCTGCACCAGCAGTCACGCCAACAAATTAATTTAAGTTGTGATATTTTCAGCATTCCCCGTGTAGTGCTGGTAAGTAATTATGTTTGTACATAATATGTTACCTTCGGCTTGAGCCAAGTTGGAGTAGAGATCGAGGATGTTGGGGCAATAGCTGAAACAGGGCTGGGAGCAGAGCTTGGCAACAAAGTTGGGGGAGAGGAGGTAATCAGAAGAGATCCCGACCGCGTTTCTGTCAAGGCCGCAGTCGTTGATGCATGCCTCTGTCTCGATCCATCCGCTCATCGTCTCAACAACCACTTCCGATGTCTTGCATTGGTACTTCACAATCCCTTTCCTGGCCAAGTAGTTCTCCAGCACGCATCTCTTTCCTGCGTCGGAGATCGAGTAGGCGCACAGCTCTACTGGCAGCTCCTCGCACATCATATTGCCGAGGGCTCCGTTAAGGATCAGAAGGGAAGACAGAGCGAAAAAAGCGATCATCTTCAACAGGTTAACAGCCATGTTTGTTGTATCTCGTTACTTAGGAATGGAATGAAATTGAAGCTCTAGTGTTGTAGGAAGGAAGGAAGGCAGGATGATGGAATGTAGAGAGAGATGTATATATAGCTGGGATGGGAGAGGAAACAATTTAGTTACAAGTCAAACTGTGTGTGTATGTGGGTAACGGCCGACTCCATTCCCAGCTATAGAAAATGTGGAAGAAATTTAGATTTCTCCAACGTAGAACAATGAACATAGATTGATGTGAAAAGGGAAAGTAAATGGGGTGGCGGAAGTTTTAAGGCCTGCATTGTTTTCATTACCCTGGGACTATCTTTTTGTTTTCTTTCAACACCACCATAACTTGATATAGGGGTAGGATACTATGCTAACCCCTAAAGGGGTAGTGATTTTTGACACCCCCTTTATGATTGGCCAATTTTATTTCCAATCATTGGCAAGTATTAATTAAACTGATTTTTTATTTTTTTTAATCTTGTAATTTGGGGTCTCTCACCACATTGGAAAAGAGAAAGAATCTGGGGAAAAACGAAATCACCCCCATTAATTACATAATTAATTTCTCTCACTGGTACATTAATTACACGTACCACTCTACTGGTACACGTACCACTCCACTGGTACACGTACCACTCCACTGGTACACGTACCACTCCACTGGTACACGTACCACTCCACTGGTGCGAGCAATCCACAAGGTAGGTTAGAGTGAGAACAATACCAGTGCAATGATATTTTTCATAACAATGATAAACAATAACGGAGCAACAATGCAGTACCACTTCAATGATACAAATACCACTCCACTGGTACACGTACCACTCCACTGGTACGTGTACCAGTGGAGTGGTACGTGTACCAGTAGAGTGGTACGTGTAATTAATGTACCAGTGAGAGAAATTAATTATGTAATTAATGGGGGTGATTTCGTTTTTCCCCAGATTCTTTCTCTTTTCCAATGTGGTGAGAGACCCCAAATTACAAGATTAAAAAAATAAAAAACCAGTTTAATTAATACTTGCCAATGATTGGAAATAAAATTGACCAATCATAAAGGGGGTGTCAAAAATCACTACCCCTTTAGGGGTAGTCAAGCTAACCGATCCCCTTGATATAATGTGTTCTTATTCGCCCTCTGAACTTGTTATTCCAACTCTAACAAGTAACAAAGATACAACTAGATTATTAGAAGATCGAATCATGATCAAGAATCTAGATTCATTCTGGAGGAAGTGAGTTCGTCCCTGCAACTACAAGTAGAAACTATTGGGCACAAGAACAATTGGACCTAAACGCGGCCCAACAGTCTAAACTAACTCAAAAATAAAATTGGTGAACAAATTTCTTGGCCCACTAAGGAGCAGTCAACCCTTACCTCACAGAACTTCTTGCAGCAAGAGATGCTATCTTCTTAGTCACTTTAATAGTCTTGTTCCACGTGGTGGTAGAAGGGGATTATGAGGTGGTCGTCAATCAGACCAGACTTGGCGTTCTAGAAGATTCTATTGGAGGTTCGGTGCTCCGGGAGTTCAAGAATCTGCTTACTAGAAGTATTCCGGAGCATGACCAGTCCTTCCTTTAGGATTTCCCTAAGTTTGTTTAAGACCAAATCATTGTGGAATTATGTCGAATTCCAATATTGGAAGGGGTTTGAAAAACGTTGTTTGATCTCGGCCAGAACAAATCGCCTGGGCCAGATGGGTTCGTTGGTTTGTTCTTTCGAAAATTATGGTCTAGGAATATACGACTTTTGTAAGGAAGTCCATGAATTCTTACTTTTTCGATAATGTCTCATGGATGGAACAACATGCACATTGCGCTGATACCTAAAGTGAAAGTTCCTGATATGATGAAATAGTTCAAACCAATCACTTATTGCAACTTTAGGTATAAAATGTTGTCTAAGAGATCATCTATTCTTTTTCATTCCATATTCCAGAGGAAGTGAAGTTTAGTCGAATATTAATTAATAGGGTTAGTATTTCTGTATGACCTGAACTTTGACCAAAATAAACATCCTGGCCAATCTTTTCGATCTATAACATCCTGGCCCGAATTATACATCAAAATAAACAATTTGGCCATATCCGACTTTTGACCGTTAACTTGGACGGTCAACGCGCCATGTCACTTCCAACTCAGCAAATTTCAATTAACTTTATTTTAAATTTACACCTATTTCCATTTTCTTTCCTTTATCATTTTGAACGAAAAAAATAATAAAACACATTTTCAATTTCGGGACAAAACCCAACAGACCCCCGGTAAGCGGCGTGCGTTTTGACCCGAAATTGTAAATGTGTTTTTTTTTCAAAGTCATAAAGGAAATAAAATGAAAATAGGTGTAAATTAAAAAAATAATAATTGAAATTTGCTGAGTTGGCAGTGACATGGCGCGTTGACCGTTAGTCAACGCGTTTGACCATTAGTCAACACGTTTGATGTCCAAGTTAACGGTCAAAAGTCAGATCTGGCCAAATTGTTTATTTTGATGTATAGTTCAGGCTAGGATGTTATAGATCGAAAAGATTGGCCAGAATGTTTATTTTGGTCAAAGTTCAGTATATATAGAAATATTAACCCTAATTAATATGTATATCGAATAAAAATGATCTGACATTATTTTATTTATTATTACCGATAAGAAAATATCTCACACAAAAAAGAAAAAACAAGAAAGAGGGATTTCTTTGTATGATAAAAAAAATTTCATTCATGTCAGTTATTTCACAAGAAGATAATCGTGGATCGGTTGAGTTTCAAATAGCGTATTTTACTAATAGAAAAAAAAAATACAATACAAGTACACGAAATACAATACAAGTTTATCTAGAAATAGAAAAAATATAGAATACAAGTTTATACTAAATACATAATGTTTAATTTTTTAATAAAAAAATAATTCTGTAAATTATATTATTTACTAATCTCATATATATTTTTAAGCATTTCATTCGCGAGGAGCTAGATGAGAATGAATGACTAGTCGATTGAAAGGTCGTATGGCAGAGCTAGTATCAGAGGTGCAAACTGCATTTACACTAGGTAGAATGATCCAAGACAACATAATCATAGTCGATGAGTTTCTGCATTTATTTAAATGCCGAAAGGGTAGCAATTGGGATATGATGTTGAAAATCGACATGAGGAAGGCTATGATCTTGTCGATTGGGACTGTCTTGGGGTTGTCCTGGTTGCGTATGGGTTTAACCAAACATGGATAGGGTGGATAAGCCAATGCATTCAAATAGTTTGCTTCTCAGTCTTACTTAACGGGAGTCCTTCTGAGATGTTTCAGCCTACTCGTGGTATTCGTCAAGGAGACTCCATGTCTCCTTTCGTTTTCATCCTTTTGTTTAATGCCTTGTCCTTTCTCATCCAAAAAGGAATTGATAAATGAGGTATTCAGGCTATCAAGCTTAATCTGAACTGCACAACTATCTCTCATTGATCGTTTGCTAACGATATCGTGATTTTTAGTAAAGCTATCATGAGAAAAGTTGTCCATATAATGAATCTTTTCAAGAATTATGGAAGCATTATAGTGCAAGAAATTAATGAGGCAAAGTCCTCTATTTTCTTCAGCAAGAACACCCCAACTTCATAACAAGAACTTATTATCACTTCTCATTGTGACTTATCCCCCTCGATTTGTCATGAATAATACTTGGGAGTGCCTTCTGAGTGGGGCGCTCTACGAAAGAGACTTTCTCCTTATTAGAAAGGATGAAAAAGGATGATTCGTGTAATTCAAATGAGATAACAATCGATGTGTAAAACCCAAAGTTGTTGCAAAAAGATACATCTGTACATGAGAAATGATACTGAAATAGAGTCCGTAAATTCAACCATCCCTCAAAAGTTGTCAGGCGAAGAAGCAAATGCAGTAGTAGAACCATCATCCGCAAAAGGAAAAGCAGGGGAAGACAGAGGAGAACCGACTGGGGCTCCAATTGCTCCATTTCCTTCCCCAGCAGTTCCTGCAGCACCACCATCAACACCGCCTGAACTCTTGGGCAGAATGTACAATGCGCGACGAGAAACAGCATTTCCCCTGATGCAGATATCATGCAAGTTCATTCCTGCAGCAGTCACACCAACAAATATAATTAAGTCGTAATATTTTCAGCGTCTGGTTTAGAACATAGCAGGGACTTGCTGTGTAGGTAAGTAATTATGCATATAATTAATATGTTACCTTCAGCTTGAGCCAAGTTGGAGTAGAGATCGAGGATGTTGGGGCAATAGCTGAAACAGGGCTGGGAGCAGAGCTTGGCAACGAAGTTGGGGGAGAGGAGGTAATCAGAAGAGATCCCGACGACGTTTCTGTCAAGGCCGCAGTCGTTGATGCATGCCTCTGCCTCGATCCATCCGCTCATCGTCTCCATCACCACTTCCGATGTCTTGCATTGGTACTTCACCATCCCCTTCCTGGCCAAGTAGTTCTCCAGCACGCATCTTTTCCCTGTGTCCGAGATCGAGTAGGCGCACAGCTCTACTGGCAACTCCTCGCATATCAGATCGCCGATGGCTCCGTTAAGGATCAGAAGGGAAGACAGAGCGAACAAAGTGATCATCTTTAACAAGGAAGCAACCATATTTGTAGTTTCTCGTTACTTAGGAATGGAAGCTGTGTTGAAGATGTAGAAGGAAGGCAGGATGAAGGAATGTAGAGAGATGCGGATGTATTTATAGCTGGACTGGGAGAGGAAACAGTTTAGTTACAGGTCAAACTGTGTGTATGAGGGTAACGGCCGACTCCATTCCCTGCTATAGAAAATGTGTAAGAAAGTTAGATTTCTCCAACGTAGACCAATGAACATAGATTGATGTGAAATGAAAAGGAAATGAGGTGGCGGAACTTTTAAGGCCTGCATTGTTTTCATTACCCTGGGACCATTTTTTGTTTTCTTTCGACACCATAACTTGATATAATGTTTTTGTTTTGTTTTTCGCCCTCGTAACCTTCTGATTCCAACTCTATTCTAACAATGATACAACTCAGCCGGTTATTATAAGATCAAAACATGTTTAAGAATCTAGATTCACTCGGGAGGAAGTGAGTTATCCATGCAAGTAGAGGAGCCACCTATTGGGCACAAGACCTAAACGCGGCCCAACAGTCTAAACCAAATCTGAAAACGGCTACAGACTCGAAGACAAAATCGGGTGAACAAAGTTATTGGTCCAGTAGATAATTTGCTTAGGGTCCAACCAGTGACGTAGCCAGGATTTGAAGCAAGGGGGTCCGGTAAAGAATCTATCATGACCTTTTCTTATTTTGAAAAAGTTATCTATCAAGAATTTCATTTGTAATGTATCATGTAATTTATTTTTTACTCTCATTTAACAAATAATGATAATTGTTTTCATCTAGTAAAGGCCGTCAACTAGTGAACTAGAAATTAATTTAAGATATTAATTTTAACTTATTATTTTTTTGTATGAATTTTCTAATAAAATATTAATCTTTATTTTAAGTTGATAAGAATGAGAATTTTTTCCCAAAGCAACTCGATCCATATCACTATTATAGGCGGGTTCACTACTAAATATGTCCATTTTGTCTTGTTGATGACCCATTACCCAAGCCAAAGGGGTGTCGTGGCACACCCCCTTTCCATGCTAGCTCCGCCGCTGGGTCCGACCCAAATCAGAAAGGAAGGAAGTACCAAGCAGGCAACAAAAGCCCGACACAAGGAGAAGTGGCCAAAACGAGAAAATCAAGAAAAGAGACCTCTAACGGGAATTGGATTGGGTGCTAATCAATGTTGTCAAACCTGTTTATATTATTATCTTTTTGATAAGTGGAATGGTACGAACGGTGATATAATTGATTTATGTGGTTATGTCGGTTTTAATGGAATACATGAGAAAAGTGAAAAATCATCAACACTAAATAAATTAGTTAGGAAGAAGCAATTAGAAGAGTTCATTCACATAAAATAATTTATAGTTAGGAATTCGTAACTCAGTAAATAATTAGATATGTAAAAAATTAATGTATATAAAATGAATTTTATTAATATTTACAATAATTAATGTAAAATATAGTACTAGCTATATAATATATAAGGTTAATCACAAAGTCCATTGTAGCCTTTTGGTGCATAATTGAAACTAGTGAACATAAGGGATTTGGTCCATTGTAGCCTTCCACCACAAACAAAAACAGATATGGAGAAATGGGATCACCCTGTCTCAATCCTCTACTAGGGTAAAACGTTTATGTTTGATGGCCATTTACCAAAGTAGAGAAAGACACTGTAGCAACACAAGTCATGATCATTTGCACCCACTTCGAATCAAACCCCAACTTCAACATTAGAGCTTCCAAAAAATCCCACTCTACCCTATCATAGGCTTTAGTTATATCAAGCTTTGCTGGCATAAAACCCTTATAACCATTACTTCTGGCCTTCATCGAGTGAAAACACTCGAAGGCAATCATCACATTATCCGGGATCAGTCTCCCAGGCACAAATGCACTCCGATTTGGGACAATAACCTTGTTTAACACCCCTTTAACCCTATTTGCAAGTACTTTAGAGAGAATCTTATAAAGTACTTTGCATAGGCTAATAGGGCAAAAATCCACAGGAGTTTGAGGAGATTTCTTTTTTGGAATCAGGGCCAAGAGTGTGTGATTGAGGTGCTGTGGGAAGCTTCCCTCCTCAAAATACCCCTGCAACTATGTAGTTATATCATCTCCCACCACATCCCAATTCTTTTGAAAGAAAAGGGCAGGCATTCCATCAGCTCCTAGAGCTTTTAAGGGCCCCATAGACTTCAAAGCAGCCCATATCTCTTCTCTTGTTAGTGGTAGTAACAATTCCTCGTTCATGGCTGTAGTAACTTTCTGTGGTATTGCATCAATCACCATCCGAGCCTCTGTTCTTACTCCAGCAGAGTACAACTTCTTATAGAACTACACTATAGACTGAGCTACATCCTCCTGTCCAACACATACCCTCCCATCCTCATCCTTAATTTTCCTAATCATATTCTTAGCTCTTCTATCTGAGGCTCGTCGATGAAAGAACTTTGTGTTCTTATCCCAAAATTTTAGCCACTCATTTCTGGAACGTTGCTTCCAGATAAGCTCTTCCTGTAAGAGAATATCTTCCAGCTCATTCTCAAGTACACTTCTCTGAACCAAAATGGCCTCAGTCTTAGGCAATTTGTCAATTTTTGCGAGGGCCTGCTCAGCTTTGATCCTTCTTGATTTGAGGCTCCCAAATATTTGTTTGCTCCAGCTCTTGAGGCGTTCTTCACAGAGTTTTATCCTCCCTGTTATTGATTCCCTACTCACAGTTCCCAACCTTCCTTTATCACTTGTTTGCACTCCTCATGGTCCTGCCAAAAAAGCTTCAAATTTGAAATAATGTCCCCACTTAACATCCTCCACTAACACATTCGTTTTGAGTAAAATAGGATTATGATCTGAACCACAACGTCGGAGATGATAAACTCCAACTTCAGGGTAGAGTTTCCTCCATGAATCTGTTGCCACCATTCTATCCAACCTTTCCTCGAGAAAGGTGTCATCCTTGTGATTGTTGTCCCAGGTGTATGGTTTACCATAGAAACCTAGGTCTTCGAGCTGGCAATCCGCCAGAGCGCTATTAAAACCATCCATCTCATATCCATTGGCAGGTTGTTTACCATTCTTCTCTACATAATGTTGAACGAGGTTAAAATCTCCACAACACATCCATGGCAGGTCTGTTTGGTTTTTTAAGTGTCTTAGCAGATCCCATGTCAGATGTTTTCTGCTCATCTCTGGCCAACCATATATGCCTGTTAGCCGCCAAACGTTACCCTCATCTTCAATCTTCATGTCAATGTAATTTTCTGCATATCCTTTCACTTCCAATTCAACATCCTCTTGCCATAACACCATCAGTCGTCCCACCCTTCTCGTCGAGCCCACTCCAAAACCTTTGTAACCTTGGAACTTCTGCACAATGAGTTCCCACTCTTTCTCCTGCTTTTTGGTCTCCATAATAAAGACCACCCTAGGGTTTTCTCTCTGGATCAATCGATCCAATTTTCTAATTGCCAGGGGACTCCCCAAACCCCGGCAATTGTAGCTTAGATAACTCATTGAGCTGGGCGGGCCTGCTCCTCTCCAGGCTCCGCCACACCGCCATCCAAATTGTAATATGTGGTTTGAGCATGTTGGTTCCCAATTTCAGGGAAATTGAGCACTTTAGCTCTCTTGCTTACATCCCCCATCATGTTTTCTACAGGTTCCCCCTCTCTGCGGAATCAATTGCACCCCTGTGGCTACCTTCCCTCGGCCCTGCTCTTGCCTCCTCCACACTCGACTAGTATTTCTACCAGGTATCTGTCCTTCTACCCTACCCATCACGAACTTTTGTAGGGCTCCAGTCTGTTGTTGATCCTTCCTCTCCTGCTGTTTCAAGTCTTTGAGAGGTGCAAACCCTCCCCCAGCAGTCTATTTTGACTTTTCGGCCACTGGAGCCATGTGCGATTGTTCTTCTCCGTTTGTCCTCCTCATTAGCCTCGTTATCCCCTCAGTTTTTCTCATTTCTTCTTGCTCAAAAGCCATGTCATGGTCAGAATTTGACCCCACACTTTCCCATTCAAATTTTTGTTTAAGGGCCGCCCATACTTCCGCATCTTCTTTTTTGGCAGTGTATGACAGCCAATTTTTCGGCCCTGGGGCTGCCCCCCGCAAGTCATATCCATAGGGATCCACCTCTGGTTTCAGTTCCACCTGACACTTTAGCTTAGGATGCCCAATTCTACCACAAGTATAGCAAAACATGGGTAACTACTCATACTTGACCGGATACTCCACTAACTTCCCTGCAATGTTCAATTTCAGTTTCTTCTTCACGGGGTTATTTATGGATAGGTATACCCTCAGTCTCATATAGTCATCCCACATAGTTGATGAGCCATCATCAAACCAATTTAGGCCCCCAAACCTTGAAGCAATCTTCTCTGCCATCTTCAGTGTTCGCAGCTCCGCAGTGAAACCCATCACCCTTATCCACGAATCAATCATATGTAATTCCTCTGGTTTTGGCTTCTGTATTGTTGTGCTCACTTTGAACACAATGAGGGATTTCTCATAATGCCATGGTCCCCCAAAGCAGACCTTGTTCCTGTCATCCATATCCAGAAATTGAAAGGCGAACAACATATCCCCTAACTCAGTTATTTGGAAACCCTTACGTAGCTTCCAAGCTTTTGCCAAAGCTATTTTCATTGACTTGATGTTTGGTTTGGTTCTTTTTCAGATACAAGGCGTCCAATCAGCCCCAGTCTGCGAACCGCCTCCATTCGAAGCACATCGACATCAGCATTATCTACCTCCAGCGGTGCTTCCTCCTCCTCCAAAGTGATCTGGTGTAGCTGTTCCTCCAACTCCACCGTTGCTTGATTCTCTTTGCTTGTAGCCGTATCCATCACAGCTTCATCTGCCATTCTGAAACAGCTGCACAGCTCTCTTATTCTCCCCGCTCAAAACTCCTACACCGGACTAAAAACAAGAAGCCTGAAAGTTTCTTGCACTAGGGTTATCGTTGTATAAGCTATAAGATCTCTCAAAACTAGGTTGCACACA